ATTGCTCTCTATAGCATCCTGAGGTGCTGATCTCTTCTCCCCCGTATCCAATGACAGGACACAGGGGAATGGTTCAAAGCTGCACCACAGGAGATTTAGACTGACATTAGGAAGCATTTCTTTACTGAGAGGGGGGGGTCAAACACTGGAACAGGCTTCACAGAGAGGTGGTTGATGCCCCCAGCCTGTCAGTGTTTAAGAGGCTTTTGGACAATGCCCTTAACAGGCTGTAACTTTTGGTCAGTCCTAATTTGGTCAGGCAGTTGGCCTACGTTGTAGGTCCCTTCCAACTGAAATAGTCTAGTCTATTCTACTTCTCTTACTCTAGTTTAAATATAATGTTAGCTATTTAGGTAGCTATTTTTTAACCTTAGTTTTGAACTTTTAAACTACTTGAAGGCTACTATGCTTCTTCAAACCCTACTAATTGTAGACTGCTTGAGTGTGCCAGATGTTGGTGCTTGTACAAAGTAACTGGGACTACTGTTTGTGAAACAAGAGTTAGATCAATGGTATTTTAATACTTGCATTGAGAGATGATGAAAATGTAAAATTGGCTAACAGTTTGCCAAAAACTGAATGTCACATTTATATGCCTAGAATTTGTTTGGAATGTTGAAGAGGATTTCAAGCCTGTTCCAGATACCTGGATTCCAGCAAAGGACATAGAGTTCTCTAATGGCAATCCTTTGCCTGATGAAAATGGACATATGCCAGGTACCTATGATGCATCACAGGTAAAAGGGGGGGAGGAAATCCATTTTTTTAAGTGAATTAAAATTAGTTACAGAGTTAAAAGTAGTAGTTAACGTATTTGGAAAACAATTAGAATGTCATAGAATCATTAGGTTGGAATAGATCTCTAAGATCATCAAGTCCAACTGTTGACCTAATGCCACCATGCCCACTAAACCATGTCTGCAAGTGCTACAACCTGTCAACTAGTCATTCATTCGCTATCCAGAAAGGCTTTGTTCTTCTCACACAGTGAAAATGATTGCAGTTTGCTGTACAGACTTACAGGGCTTCAGTTGAAGGCACAGTTGACACGTTTGCCATTTCTCTGACATGTCTCTGAGATACGACACAGTTTTTCTTGTTACTCTCTGTAGGTAACTGTGAGAGGTTTAATGCATGTACAGTTCTTATACACATTTGATAACTTCAGATATTTACTTTGGTAAAATGCAATGTTTTCTCATAGGTTGGGTGCCTGTAGAGAAGAATAGTAAGCAGTATTGCTGGCACTCATCTGTGGTAAATTATGAGGCCGAAGTAGCACTGGTGTTGAAACATCATGCTGACCCGGGGCTTCTGGAAATCAGCCCGGTGCCGCTATCAGAGATTTTAGAACAAACTTTGGAGCTTATTGGGACTAATATTAATGCAAATCCATATGGTAAGTTTGTATGGTCTGTTCTTAAATAGTTTTTGATATAGTGATATTTTTGAGTGAAAATTGTGCATTTTCTATGAATGCTTTAAAAAAAAAAAGTTCTAAGGTAGCAATGTCATGTTTTTAGAAAGGAGAGAAAGAGCTAGCTCGAAGAATACTCACCTTGGGAAGATGAGTTGTTGTGAGACTGTTTATTAAACCTCCTTCCACCTATGTGTTCTTTAGGAGTTAATATAAACATGCTTTGCTTTAGTCTTTCGAAAAATAATCTGACTGGAAAAGTTGTTTTAAATATTACTATTAAAATATGTTAAGATTGATTGTCTATCCCTTTTCTTGGCTTTTTTTTACTTGCTCTTCTGATGCTGTTTAGTCCGTTGAAGTAGAAAATTTTATACAGCCTTTTGTTTTTGAGTCCCTAGAAGTTAGTCATAAGTTGCAATTTTTAAATTATGAAATATTACGACTTTTTTTTAAGGAAATGTAATTTAAGCTAAATTGTGGTTGCGGCTTCTCCCTTTAAAAGCCTTATAATGAAAAAACATTAGATATGGGCACAAGTGAGTGCTAATTTCTGAGCTTTGCTGTTAGGGTAACTTGCAAGGACGGACAGGAGAAATAGTAGTTCCTGGTCTAAGCATTTTCTCAGAATGTAAAGGAACTGCAATAAATAAAATAATCAAATAGCTGTATTCTTAGATGAAGATTAACACTGAGCAGTCAGTGAAGAGGCAATGTATTAATCCTTATTCATAAGAAAATATTTGTGCTGTGGATCGTGATCTGAAGTGTGAAGAATTCAGCTAGAAGCTTTATGGTTACTGAGGAAGTGACCACAAGGACAAAGCAGGCAACTGTATGAACGTCATGTTTATTTTATAGAAATAAATAGTTATATGAGGAGGAGACAGCTACATTTGATACTTAGAGTATGTTTAACTAAATGTTACTTCAGTTACATGTAACTAAAATGTTCTTTTAAAGGCAGGACCGTGTTGCAGTATCTAATAGAAGTGTACCTGTATAGGGTGTTTTTAAGATAGCTGTACTAACGAAAGTGAGGAGAATCTTACCACATGTAACTAGCAGGAAGATTTTTTGTTCCTTTTACCATAGGATTAGGAAGCAAGAAGCAGCCTGTACATCTTCTTGTACCACATGGAGCATTTGAAATAAAGAATCCACCTACTTTGAAACAAAATGACATACTGTCTTGGTTTGAAGGCTGCAGCGAGGGTAAAGTTGAAGGAATTGTGTGGCACTGCCATGATGGGTGTTTAATCAAGGTAAATATATACATGGACATGTGGTTTAAAGCACTATAATAATTCATAATATGTGAAGTATTGTGAGGTATTCACTTTTTGTCTTGTTTTCCAAATTCTTTAGTAGTAAATGTTCTCCTAGCAAATCAGGTGACAGTGGAATTAGTCAAACCAGTGAATCACTACAATGACAACATACTAAACTTTTTAATTATCTACACTATGCTAACAACTTGAAGTAATCGAGAACATAAAATATTATTTTCTGGCCTCTCTCTATAGGAATCACTCAACATTTTAAAGCTTAATTCTTTTTTTTAAAAAATTAATTTCTTGGAATGTTGGCTTATAAAACAAGTATTGTTAATAAGAATGTGATTTTTGATTAATTAGCAAGTTTATATTCTTTCTGAAGCTATGGAGGACCTTGGTTCTGGTTTGCTTTTTGTGCTTCATTGTTATACAGAAAACTGATTAATGGTTGGTTATAAGAGCCCTAACGCAGAGGAGCTTAGAGTTAAAGCACACACCCCTGCACCCCCAAGTCAGGAACTGTTGGGCTACTGTATCGAAATCTCTAAACTGATCTTATTTCTTTTTATTTTAGCTCCATCGCCATCATCTTGGTTTACGCTGGCCACTTGCAGAGACATACCTGAATTCTCAGCCTGTTGTAATTTCTTTTAATAGAACTAAGTATGACTGTGACTTTGAACCAAAGAGTTTGTTTCACCATTTTTCAAACTTGGATGGTCAAAGATTTGACAGACTGAAAGATATCAAGTTTGATGCTTGAGATGATCTTTCTCTTTTAGGTTGTCGTCTGTGCTGCATTTCTCTTACTTGTGTCTACCACAGAACTCTTTACAAATAATCTTCTAGGTTAGGCAGCAGGCTAGGTACTGTACAATTTTAAGTTTTTCCTAAATGACTGATTTTATATATAAAGAGAGATCCAACATCCAGAGCAGAGATCTAACTTTCACCATGTTTATTTTCAGTTCTGAAAAATCCCTAACTTCTGAATCCATTTCTGGAAACTGTTATAATTTAGTACGTTGTCTTCACACTGGCTGGTCCTAATAGCTTAGCTAATGAATGCAAGCAACTGTCAAAGTTCCATAGGTTGTAATTCTATAAATACCATTATTATGACACTGTTACATGTAGGATTCAGATTTAGGATCTAGTTGTTTCTTAACAGTAAAGGACATACTTCAGGTGGAACCAGAATTAGTCGTGAAATTTGAGATTTTTTTTTTAAAGTTGTAGCGAAGTCTTTTGGAGGAAAACTTTTCACTGTAGTATTTAACTGGTAAGCTGCAGCATTATGCTATTACTTGAAAACCTAATTAAGGTATATGCTACAGGTACTTCCACTGTTTTGTGACAAAAAGAGTAAATAATAGAAAGTATACTAGCTCTATTTTGGAAATCCTTTGTAATTAGAGACGTGACTTGGCTTAATACCCATTTTCAGACTGCATCTCAATTAGGAAATTTCATCAAGGGCGTATTAAGTAAGATGGCAAATAATAAAGGTGAGATTGCATGATCATTTGAGTTGGCTTTATTTTCACTGAGCTATAAAAGTATACATCCAGCTGTATAAAATGTACAAAGTGAAAAATCATTTATCTACAAAAATACCATTAGTTTGGCTGAAATATTATAACTTTATTTTCAATTCTTTGTTCTTGGATTTTTCTCAAATTGAGGTACAAATAACCAGAGATGTAAGAAGAGACCTCCAGCATGCTGACCCTGAGTCCATAGTTAAGAAGTATGACAGCAAGAGACAGCAAGAACAAATTACATACTCGTATCCATCTGGAACTTAGCATACTTTGCACAATTTAAGAGTTTCTCAGCTTTTGGTGTAAGTCCAAGGTTTCAACTTCACCTGACACCTGTGTATTACCCAAATTACTGTTCTGAATTAAAATAATAATTATTGCAAAGGAGGTGGGGGAGAAAACTCCCTTTTATTTTGACTGGTGTATATAAATACATACATAAAGACCATAATCTGTTGACTAATCCAATTCTGCACTCCTAAGTATGTGCCAAACTATTGTAACTTTAATAGCCTTGTATCATTCCAAGATAAAACCAGACAAATAAATCACTATTATGTAAATTCTGGAGCAGTTATTTTCTGTATCAATACGGAGGATACTAAACACTAGCCTGATCAACAGAAACGCTGCCTGGACTGTCCACTTGAATGCCAAACTCTTCAGAAATCTTCTTTAATCTCTCTTCTAAGATAATATTTTTTTTTACTTCTTCATTGTAGTTATATTTCAGATCCTCAATTTCTTCAAAAAAGGAAGGGTCAAAGTTTTCTAATTCTCTTCTCAGCTTTTGTATTTCTTCCTATTAAAAAGAATGAAGGAGAACCACCTTTATCCAGAATTTAGGAAATAAGTGTCAACAAGAGCTTTTTTTGCTGTAAAAGGCTAAGCAATGAGAAAACAAGCATGTTCTCTAGATACACAAAAATCTACTCCTGAACAGCACATTCACTAACAACAACATAGACTTCATAACGATAATGTTTAGAAATTTACTTTGTCATTAAAAATTAGTTTAGATACTAAACAGCTCTTTCTAGCTAACCATAATTTTGCTCGTTATCTTGCTTAGGATGACCCTTGCAACTCACCTTTAATTGCTCTTTTTCCAACTCTGAGGCTTTCAGCTGTATCTGGAGGTCAGTTACGTCTGTCACTAGCTTGTCATTTTTATCCTTCTCTACAATTTCATTATGTCCTGCAAAAATAATGATAATTTGTTATGAAATTTAAGGTAATGAAAATAAATGACATGAATAATCTTGTTACAGTAATTCTGCATCTCCTGAGAGCTGAAATAGTTGAAGTGTATAAACCCAACTGGGATTAACAACCATCAAAAATTCAAGTCATCTGGGCTTTTCTTCAGTTCTTGTACAGATTAGGTGGTGGTGCCTACTTCCTGTGACTGAACGCAGTCTATTAGCACACTCCTAAGGACAGTACAGTTTCTCTGAATTAGATGCAGGAAATTTAGCAATAACATAGTGTAAGGACCTTGTCAATTGTATTCATAATTTCAAGAGGGTTAATTTTTTTTACCAGTCATATGGCAATGTGCTGCTTCTAGAGTGCTGCTCTTCCCATGGGACTGATGCCTGCTAAATCTTAAATCATTCACAGAGCTGGTATCTGGAAACAGATGCTTGTTCTTTGGCAGCTTGGAACCCAAGGCAAAAGGGGTGGGCAAGAGGGTTTCCATGAATGACTGACATCTTACAAGCAGTCCTTCGAGGTTTATAAAGCAAATGGTGGCATGAACTATATGTCATCTTGGAAAGGGAAATTGTACAAAGATTACTGCCTCTTGTTCAAGATAATTAATTATGGAGATTTTTACTAACACTTGTCTATAAAAAGCTTGTGTAAGTAGTTGAAAATCCAAGACTTTAGTCTGCTCCAGTTTACATTACTCTAGTATTAATGTAATTCAAATAATTCTGTAGATTTATCATTTTGCACACAAATATTACGTAAAAACAGGTTTAGGCCCAAAACAGAAGCTCTTTATTTTAGGTATTGAAAACAATTACCGGCTGCAGGACCTTCGCTTGTATATGTGTGTATGTGGTGCTTATAATCCTCCACCTGGTGAGCCAGTTCTGCTTTTTCTTTCTCTAATCGATTATTAGTTAATCTGGAATATACAACAATTTTATAATAACTTTTAAAAATTATTAAAATACTTTAGATATAAAATATGTAACTAAAAATGGCAATGGCCATTTCATGTATATTGTCTGAGGTATTTATTTAGTTATTTAAAAGTACATTACCGTAAAAGCTGAAGCTCCCTGACAAGGCCTTGCTCTGTCCTTGCACCTTCAGGAAAGTGTTTGAGAAGCTCAATCTTAAAAAGAAAAATTAAGGAAGTTTTATTCTCAAACAGTAACCATGGACAAAGCAGTGCAGATGGAGTTCTCTTTGATACAGGATTTAAAAATGAAGGAAAATAATACTAAGGATGTAACCAAGTACTATCACAAGGTTATCACAGAGAAACAAAACCCAAGCGTTTGTATACTGACAGTTTTGACAAAGGTAATTATCTACAGCCTTTTAAAAGTTGGTATAGATCATTGCTGTGTATTTCATGAAGGGGGAAGAAAAAAGTATTCAAAAGTTAGATCTACAAAGAAAGTTAGACACACAGCTACGTTAGCATAATTTATAGACATGCTTAAGGAAGTGATATGCCCAAATCATTTAAGTGCTTTAAAAATACCACTGACGTACTTGCATACCTAGATGTCCATGTTCCTTTTTTAAACATAATATGAAAAGCCTGTGATTTTGCAGCGAACACCAAGTGACTACAGTGACTAGAATCAACCTGCAGTCGTAAGTTAGAATAGGTCCCTGCCCAGAGAGGGAGTCAGCCTCTAGACATGCCTTTCAGTAAAAGGTGCAGCAGCAAAAAATCACTGTTTTAAATATGAGACTATAGTTTTTTAATACAGTGACAATTTATGAACTCCCATATGGCTACTGTTAGTGATAGGCTTTTGTTCTATCACTACCTAAAATGGTAAGGATTTGGGGTTTTTGTCCACAATCAATCTCTCTTTCTGTGGAATGTAGTTAACCTTGACCACCATTCATCAGTATTGGAGACATGAAAGAAACTGGAAAGTGTGTTGCTCTAGAGCAGTATCACATTATGAAAGAATTTTCTCTGTGTTAATTTTGCTGCTGGTATACACTTCATGTTAATAGTTTTGACTTTAGAAAAGGGAAAACAAGCAGAAATTAACAAAATACTTGTTTTATAGGACTCAATTCCAAGTTGTTCATTGAACACATTTACTTGCTTACATATATGACTTCTTATATTGAAAGTCATGTATTCGATACCTTACACTGAGAACGGCCAGTAGGAGATGTCTGGGGAAGAAAACCACGCACATACTAATAGAAGAGGGGAGCTAATCTAGGTGGACAGTCCTAGGGCTGCATCTCTGGAGTACTTAAAGGCTAAAATTCGACACATCTTTTCAAAGGTACCTGAGTTTAAAATTCATAAACTCTTCCATGTGTGAAATAATATTTGTAAGACTTACTAGGGACTGCATGTAAGAGGCCATATTGGAAATGGGCACAAAGGATCCCCTTTAGGAGGGCAAAGTCAATCCCCCAAAAAAGACCTGGAAGGAAGAGGGAAGTCCTTGCAGCACTCGCTCTGCAGAACAAGCTAGAAAAATGTTAACACCATTTGAATCCTCTATACTACCGGCTTTCATGTGATCAATGAAACTATATATAAAAAAAAAAACCCTACAGAGAATATAGTAGAAGAAATTAATTTTCCCCTAAGGCTGCAACTCAAGAATATATATTGATAATACATGGTAAGCCTCATTAATTAGCTAAAATATGTAAATGTACAATTATGGCAACTAGGTCTGAAAAAACTTATAAAAGCATAGATTAGAGAAAAAAATGTACTCTCAATGTAGACATTAGAAAGAGATTAATTAATATTAAGCAACCTATTCTCAGAGTCACCTGGCTAAATTTTACTCACTTGTTCTTTTAGATCTTGCAAGTGTTTATCAGCATTGTGTTCACGTTCTGTTGCTTCCTGAAGCAGCCGTTTAAGGTCAATAATGCTTTGGGTTTTTTTAGCAATATCCATTTCCATTTCCTTCATCTTAGTTTCATGCATCCTGGTAGTATTTTTATTCAGAAAAAGGTAAAGAGAAAAAGCTAATACTTTTGCAGAAATAGAGATTAAGGTATCTTTTAAGAGATCAAATGCCATAAAATACACCCTAAAATATGTTTAGGGCATTGGCCTTGAAATAATCCGGGTCTTATTTATAAGCGAGCTGAAAGAAACAATGAAGAATACATTTTTATTCTCAGAATAAAGGTTTTTACAAATGTTATACCTTTGTGGATCTATTTTTGTGTCTACACTTTATTAAAGGGGGAGTGGAATCT